ATGTAGTTCTTGTATATCACTTAAGGATCATGTTGCAAAACTTGAAGGAACTTTGAAGAAGTTTGGTGTTTCTCATAAAAACCTTAATGATGTTCTTGATAATTTGCAACTTACTAAACATGGCTTAGGATTTGAAAATGAACCTAATAATAAGGAAAAAGTTGAGCAACCATCTAGGAAACCTAAAGCTCAACTTAGGAATAATGAAAATCAAGAAAATAGACAACCTAGAACAATTAGGAACACTAGACCACCTAGAAAGAACACTAGGATGAACAATGATCAAGTTAGAAATCTAGCAACTATTATCAACCTAAGAGAATGCATAATCCAAATGTTGTTTGTCATTATTGCAATAGGGTAGGTCATATAGCACCCGTGTGTTTTAGTAGGCATAGGCATTACACGTATAACAAAACACACACTTTGCATGGAACTAACCGAATGAAATCCTTTGAAAAAGGATATTCGAACTCTAACCAATCCTTGCAGGAATCAACGCAAAAGAAACCATATCACTTCTTCTATTATGATGAAAAGAAGAAGATTCACATACCACTTCCGGAACCCACACAAATCAAACCGAGGTATAGACATTCAGTTCGAGTAGACTGGAACCCGCCAACCGCAAAACGACGAGTTGGCCAAGGTAACACTTAAACACGCGTGTTGGTACATGTGTGTGTGTGTGTGTGTTTGCATACCATGTGTATGTGATTATGGGTGCGTGTGTTTATTAGTTTAAAAAGTCGTGTTACTAATCCTCAAGGACCCAAAAGATCAAACAGGTACCAAAATGTTTTCATTGTAGGTGTTAAAGCCAGGGGGAACAAAAGAAATCGATTTCAAGTTCCCAGGACTGAGTGTAAATCGATTTACAACCTTGAGATAATCGATTATCACTGTCCGCAGAAGTTTGGAGCAAATCCATCGCAAAACCTCAACAATCGATTTTCCAAGTCATGATAATCGATTATATGGAGCTGCAGAACTTTATTTCAACTCAGGCGCAAACTACAACAATCGATTTACAACCAGGCAGAAATCGATTATTGAAGCCTGCAGTTTCTTTGGCGGAGAATCTGAAGACTCAGATAATCGATTTACAGGGAGTGTAAATCGATTATCAACGGCGATTTTTCAAAAATCTGACCGTTGCAGAGACGTTGGAGGAGAATTTAAACCTTGTTTGACAATCGGCCGCTCCCCTACGCCCTCCTCGTCATGGCGATTCTTGAAGAGTATAACATCAAAACCGATGTTGGGCCAAAGATAAAGGGGACAAAGTATTGGGAGATTGATGAATCCTCTTTCCACTCGGGCACCGACGAGACTCCGTTTCGACAACCTCGTCCACGCCGCCAACCAAGAGCCACTGCCTTAACCGCCACCACTTCGACCAATCCTTCTCTCGCCGAGCAAATGGCAGCCTTGACCACCACTCTCTCTCGGATTGACACCAACGTCTCCAAAACGGCACACAACGTCAATACCTTGAGCCGTGAACTTCACGGGTATTTTGACTTTGTCAATTACCCGTACGCTCAATTGGTCCCTTACGTTCCTCCACCGAATTTTGGAGGTGAACAGAGTGGGACTCAAAACATTGGTAGGGATGACGAGGTGGACGATGAGGAAGAGGAAGAAGAAGAGGAAGAAGAAGCCGAAGATGATGATGAAGATGAAGACGATGAAGAAGAAGACATTGACGAAGACCAACTTCTCAATGATCTTTCACCGGACTTCTAGAGCTCTAGCTATATTCCCTTCTCTTCTTTCTTCTTTTTATGCTTTTTAAATTTGCTTCCGTCATGTACTCTGCTATTTCCCTTAATTAATAAAAATCTTTATGGTTTTTGTTATCAAAAATCTTTTTGTTAATGTCAAAAGGGGGAAGATAAGGGCTATGCATATATTAAGGGGGAATTTTTTATTAAGGGGGAATTTTTTTTCAAAAAGATCAAAACCCTATGCATATCCCCGTCTTGTTTGCCATTATCAAAAAGGGGGAAATTGTTGGAACACACTTTGTACGATAAACTAAAGTCGTGTTCATTTCTGATAGGTTTTGATAATTGCCAAACCGCCGTGGATATAAAGAGTTTCGTTGAATAACTCAAGGCGTGAAGAATGGCTTGGAACAAGACCTAAAAGACTCAAGGACAAGATCAAGAATTGAAGACTTAGTCGAGTCGGTCTTTTGTGATCAAAACCGACAATAAATTCAAGTCTCGGTTCTCAAAAAGTCAAAATAATTTTTACAAATCACAAAATATTTTTTGTGCATCAAAACAAACATTTTTGATGATTTCTTCTATTGTTAAAATCCCTGGTCCTTGCTCAGAACCGAAACCACCTAAGTCGGCGTTCGGCTTTCTGGGTTCGGCTTTCGGCGTTCGGTTTTTGGCGCCCGAACCAACTCCGTGGTTTTCAATATTTTAAACCCTGTTTTTACCTCTGAGCATTTTTAAAATGTTCCCAAATAATTATTTTACAAAAACCACTTTTGTATCTTGGTCAATCGGTCTAACACGTGAAAAACAGTCAAAACCGTACGCACGTATTGGATAATCGACTATCAAAAGATTCCTTGTCCAAAAATTTAAAATTCTATCCGTTGGAGGACAACGGTAACCCCGATAATCGATTATTGGTCCTCTCAGAAGATTCTGGGTTTTGGCTGCAAAGACTGATAATCGATTATTGCATAAGTGATAATCGATTATTGCGTGCTTCAGAACTTTGGAAGTTCAAACCTGCAGGGGCTGATAGTCGATTGTCACAAAGGTGATAATCGATTATCACCCAGCTAAAGTCTAGCCAGCTGAAACCCGTTTTGAAAAACCGAGGCCCAAAAACGAAGTGTTCCCAAAAGTAAAAACCAGGTTTGAAAAATATTGTATATGGTATAAAATAGTGAAAACAATATTTGTTTGGTAAAAACCAAGTCTCCAAGGTCGTACAATACGTGCGTACGGTCTTGACCGTTTTTCACGTGTTAGACCAATTGACCAAGATACAAAAGTGGTTTTTTTAAAATAATTATTTGGGAACATTTTAAAAATGCTCAGAGGTAAAAACAGGGTTTAAAATATTGAAAACCACGGAGTTGGTTCGGGCGCCAAAAACCGAACGCCGAAAGCTGAACGCCGACTTAGGTGGTTTCGGTTCTGAGAAAGGACCAGGGATTTTAACAATAGAAGAAATCATCAAAAATGTTTGTTTTGATGCACAAAAAATATTTTGTGATTTGTAAAAATTGTTNTGATCACAAAAGACCGACTCGACTAAGTCTTCAATTCTTGATCTTGTCCTTGAGTCTTTTAGGTCTTGTTCCAAGCCATTCTTCACGCCTTGAGTTATTCAACGAAACTCTTTATATCCACGGCGGTTTGGCAATTATCAAAACTTGTCAGAAATGAACACGACTTTAGTTTATCGTACAAAGTGTGTTCCAACAGATATGTGCTTGCGCACAATCCTCTCCACCCGATAGAAGTCCGGTGAAAGATCATTGAGAAGTTGGTCTTCGTCAATGTCTTCTTCTTCATCGTCTTCATCTTCATCATCATCTTCGGCTTCTTCTTCCTCTTCTTCTTCCTCTTCCTCATCGTCCACCTCGTCGTCCCTACCAATGTTTTGAGTCCCACTCTGTTCACCTCCAAAATTCGGTGGAGGAACGTAAGGGACCAATTGAGCGTACGGGTAATTGACAAAGTCAAAATACCCGTGAAGTTCACGGCTCAAGGTATTGACGTTGTGTGCCGTTTTGGAGACGTTGGTGTCAATCCGAGAGAGAGTGGCGGTCAAGGCTGCCATTTTCTCGGCGAGAGAAGGATTGGTCGAAGTAGTGGCGGTTAAGGCAGTGGCTCTTCGTTGGCGGCGTGGACGAGGTTGTCGAAACGGAGTCTCGTCGGTGCCCGAGTGGAAAGAGGATTCATCAATCTCCCAATGCTTTGTCCCCTTTATCTTTGGCCCAACATCGGTTTTGATGTTATACTCTTCAAGAATCGCCATGACGAGGAGGGCGTAGGGGAGCGGCCGATTGTCGGAGGTGGCGGTGAACATGTGAGTCATCACAAATTTACACCAATTGAGATTGGCATTGTGAATCATCACATGAATTGTCTTCGTGTCCTCCTGGGAGAGAGTGGTGTGATTGAACTTCCTAGGCTTGAGAATTCGTGTCAAAACATAAAAATGAATCGAAACACGGGACTCATGGAAGCAATCGTAGGGCGCCGCTGTTGGGGAGTTGGGACGAAGTGTCGGATGCCCACTTCCTCCAAGAGGGCGGTCTCATTGAACCGCGCTCCTTCCTCTCCGACGTAGAGCCCGAGATCTTGTCCGTCCCGACGAAGCCCGGTGAGGATTTGAATGTTTTCCTCATTCAAATAGATTTCCACCCCGTTGACGTTAGAGATCAACGTTCCGTCCTCATCCTTTTTCAAGTTCGAGTAGAAAGCTCGAACAAGAAAGGGGTGATAATTGACCTTCTTGATGTAGAGGAGATCGAGGAAGTTTCCACGTTCGAGGATAACCCGTGCCTCACATGGAATGGAGTCATGAATGAAGCGGGCGGTAGAGAATCGGGGAGGGAGAATCTCTCGGTGCTCAAATTTCTCTGAGAACCGCGTCGCCTCTACGTGGTCGTTGAACCAAAGGAACGACCCGTCGAGGTACTTGTGCGCCGGTGGTGGAGGGGCTGAGGAAGAGGCCACGTTCTTGCCAGTGCAGGAACGCTTTCTTTGACCGCCTGCCATTGCAACAAGAGAGGAGAGAGAGTTTGCAGAAAAAATGAAGAATCGGAGCAAGAATGATGAATTATGATGAATATATGGAGAGGAGATGATTGGAATGAGTAAAAACGGAGTAGATATCACCAATATATAGTGGAGAAGGTGTAGAGATCCGTTGGGATGGTCAAACAAGGTTTAAATGCTCCTCCAACGTCTCTGCAACGGTCAGATTTTTGAAAAATCGCCGTTGATAATCGATTTACACTCCCTATAAATCGATTATCTGAGTCTTCAGATTCTCCGCCAAAGAAACTGCAGGCTTCAATAATCGATTTCTGCCTGGTTGTAAATCGATTGTTGTAGTTTGCGCCTGAGTTGCCTTTAACTTCTGCAGGCTTAAATAATCGATTATCTTATAGTTGATAATCGATTGTTGCTGGTTTGCGTCTGACTTTTGAGAAGGTTTTGCATCCCCTGATAATCGATTATCTTAATGCTGATAATCGATTGTTGGCTCCTTCAGTTTCTTTGCTCCAACTCCTGTGGGTTGTGATAGTCGATTATCACAAGCCTGTAAATCGATTGTTCACATTCCCCGTGACTTCAACGCCTACAATGAAAACATTTTGGTACCCGTTTGGTCTTTTGGGTCCTTGAGGATTAGTAACACGACTTTTTTAAACTGATAAACACACGCACCCATAATCACATACACATGGTACGCAAACACACACACACACACACACACATGTACCAACACGCGTGTTTAAGTGTTACCTTGGCCAACTTGTCGTTTTGCGGTTGGCGGGTTCCAGTCTACTCGAACCGAATGTCTATACCTCGGTTTGATTTGTGTGGGTTCCGGAAGTGGTATGTGAATCTTCTTCTTTTCATCATAATAGAAGAAGTAATATGGTTTCTTTTGCGTTGATTCCTGCAGGGATTGGTTAGAGTTTGAATATCCTTTTTCAAAGGATTTCATTCGGTTAGTTCCATGCAAAGTGTGTGTTTTGTTATACGCGTAATGCCTATGCCTACTAAAACACACGGGTGCTATATGACCTACCCTATTGCAATAATGACAAATAACATTTGGATTATGCACTCTCCTAGGTTGATAATAGTTGCTAGGTTTTCTAACTTGATCATTGTTCATCCTAGTGTTCTTTCTAGGTGGTCTAGTGTTCCTAATTGTTCTAGGTTGTCTATTTTCTTGATTTTCATTATTCCAAAGTTGAGCTTTAGGTTTCCTAGATGGTTGCTCAACTTATTCCTTATTGTTAGGTTCATTTTCAAAACCTAAGCCATGTTTAGTAAGTTGCAAATTGTCAAGAACATCATTAAGGTTTTTATGAGAAACACCGAACTTCTTCAAATTTCCTTCAAGTTTTGCAACTTGATTCTTAAGTGATATACAAGAACTACATTTTAAACTCTCCCGTTTGTCGGCGCTTCTTTTCCCGAAAAACTTATTTTCTTCTTTAAGTTTTTCATTATCTTTTGGTAGTTTATCAACTTCCTTCTCCATGGAAGTAAGTTGTTTCTTCAAATCCTTGTTAATTTTAGAAGCATTGACATATTCATCATAAAGTTCATTGAAGGCTTCTTGAACATCATCAAAGGTGTAGGAATCGTTAGAAGTGGTACATACCTCTTCCGGTGGTTCCTCGTGTGCCATGAGGCAAAGGTTGGCACTTTCGTTTTCTTCGCCTTCCGATGATTCGTCGCCGGAATCACCTCCCCATGAGATGTAGGCTCGGTGCTTCTTGAACATTTTATTCTTGTTCTTGGCGGTTGGACATTTTGGTTTTATATGCCCAACTTCTCCACACCCATAGCATTTGGGTGGACTTCCTTGCTTCTTTCCTTTCCGTTCATACTCTTGGCTCATGAACTTATGGAATTTCTTGAGCACGATCCCGAACTCGTCTTTGTCACTCGAGTCCTCCACATCACGTTCTTGACTTGTGGACGCCTTGAGTGCAATCCCATTCTTCTTTTGTTCACCTAAAGAGGGGTAAAGAATGGTAGACTCATAGGTTTTGAGGTTACCTCTAAGCCCGTCAATGGTGACACTGGAGATGCCGATAGATTCTTGGATAGCATCAGCTTTGGAGCGCCATTCCGGTGTGAGACTCCGCAGGATTTTTCTTACAAGCTCCTTGTCCGTGTA